AAAAGGGCTACAGTTCTTAGCAGGAGAGTTAGCAGTTGTCAGGAAAGCTGCAGGTTACTTTGAGACAGTTGTCCCAAATGCATCAGAGGAACTGTAAAAATCTGCTACAGAAGGAGCGATGATCCATAGTCAGAGAAGTTACTACAGCTTAAAAAGGAAACCCTTCTGGTTCAGGATTGTTATAACCACGGTTTGCAAAAAGTGAAGCTACTGATTAAAGCAATGTAGTGTCAATTACATGTACATTCTACAGGTCTTTTATCTGTTGTAGCTTTGTCTTTTTCTTTCTTTTCATTTTATCAGGTATATTGCCCTGCAAATTATGGCAATGGTACCAAGAATAAAAAATCAAGGAATTTTTAACATAGAAAAAAACTAAAAAGATTTGTCTTAGAGATTATCACAAAATAGACGAAACAGGTCATTGTAACCTACCACTTTTTCTAAACAAAATCTACTTCCAAACTCCTTTAACCCCAAATTAAAAGAAGGGGAGAAATGACCAAAGCCAAGGACAGAATTAACATGAAAAACCAGTAAGGTCTTGCAGAGTGAGCACAGGGGCTAAAAAACAAGCCCTTGGGAAAGAGAGAAAAAGAGGCCCAAGAAGGCCATTTGCTTCAATTCTGTTTGAGTAAAGTAGGGACTCTGGGGTGAACAAGTGTTTCCTAACATCCTCTGCATTGCAAAACTAAGTTCAGCCAATTCAAGGCAAAAGACTCACCCACAGACCTTACAAACATCAAGAACATAACTAAAATGTTTTATAGGTCTAGTAGTACCTTTTGCATCTAGTTATTTTTAAGATTAAATTAAGTTACACATGTGAAGTATTTAGCACAGTGCCTGAAACTTAGAAACACTCAATAAATTTCTGCTATTGTTATTATATTTTATTATTCCACTTTCCACAGCCTCTAATCCAGTGATTTATATACTGCAGGAATGCAATAAAGGTGGCTGATCAACAGTGCTCAGGAAGAGAAGAGAACCAATAACTAAGGTTTTGTGTTCTGACAAGTACCAGATTTTCCTACAGCCTGACACTTATTTTAAAATATTTCATTTAGCATACACTTTGTGATACATGTGTCAATGGGCAAGAGGTCTGGGTGGGTGGGAGGGTATATTTCCCAACTGGGAATACATTCTCTAGGAGAGTTAATTAGCTTATGAAAGACTTTAATTAAAAGCAAACATTCCAGAGTCAGGTACTAAAGGAACCTTAATATTCTTTATATTTGATGAACATCTGAAAAATAATTGGCATAAGGAGTGATGCCCCCAAACACACACACACACACACACACACACACACACCAGGTAAAGTGAGTGGTGTCTGAGGTGCAAGGATTAGCTAGAAATGCTGCACAGGCCTGCCCATAATTCTGGGAACAAGATTTAAGACCATGTATCCAAAATAAATATGATGCTAGCCACATCTGTAGCTTTAAACTTTCTATCAGCAACTTCTGACATTTCCAGTCAAGTGGGAGACCCAATACTATTATAGACTACTGGACTATTTTGGAATATTTTGCTAAGTTCACACATCTATAATATTTAAATGACGGAACTAAACAAAAAAAGGGGATACAGATGAATGACCATTTTGTATCTGTGTATTCAAAATGGTTAGGATAGATATATAGCTACATTCTCTTAATTCAATGAATAGAGGGATTTGTTCCAATAGTGTTTGTAAATAGGATATCATGTCTGCATCTTGTACAACAATTAACCACTAGGAAGACAGTATGCAATGTGTTAATTATTGAAGCTGTCCTACCAATTTGATTTGAAACTGTCTCATTGCTATTTGTTTCTCAATAAAATTATGGAAAAAAATAAAAAATAAACTAACAGCCATATTCATAAAGTAAAAAGATAAAATTAATTTTAATAATATATTTCATTTAGCTTACTATATTTAGAATAGCAACATACAATTGATATGAAATATGCTAATGGATATTTTACATCTTCCAATTCAGATTGTCTTCAAACCTGAGCATTTATATTTCGGTACATCACCATTGGGACCAGCCACATTTCAGGAACTCAGTAGCCATGTATGCTGCCCTAAAGTCAACAGAATCCTATAAGTTGCCAAGAATAGGCAATTTGATGCACATTTTCTTAAAAATTCCCTCAGTTTCTCTATAGAAAACCGTTACCAAGAGACAGAAATGGAAACTGAGGACAAGTAAGAAGTTGCTACAGTAACCATAGGGAGACAGATAGTGGTTACCCCACCCAGAATGAAAGCAGTGAAGAGAAAAAGTGGCTGTGAGAAGATATATTGTGACATGCCATCAGGAGACAGCTGGGACAACTGAGCGTGCGTTGGAGTTAAAGGAAGGAAAAAATGAAAGATAATTCCTGAATTACTGACTGGAACAGCTCAGAACATAACAGAATTACTGCCTGTGATAGGAAAGGAAAATCAGGCATGAGAAAAGAAAATCAGGGATTCAGGATTAGACACCTGTAGCTTAAGGTGGCTGGGAAATACCCAAAAGGCAAAGGACTCTATGTTTCCCAAGCTGTTGATATTACAGACCCTGAACTACAGTCTAGCCTGGGGGTAGATAGCAGTCCTGGAATTAGATCAACATTTCTCCATAAGACTGATTACGGTGTCTTCGGCACATCTACAGAGTCACTGCCAGTCTGATGCACATGTCTCCGATTACACTTACAAAAGTGTAGGGTGAGGATATGCTTACAATTGAAAACCCAGAGAAGTCTCTTTTCTCAAAGAGCCCTGGAATTCAGGGTTTTTGTTATAAAATATCTTTCATTCTCCATCATAAGTAACAAGAGATTCAGTCACTTCAGCTAAGCCTTCAGCCCTTGAAGGCAGCCAGTTAATGTCTGTGATATTCAACCCTTCTGATCATCACTGTAATCCATGGATTTCTACTGCTTGGGCCATAAGGACTATATAACCCAATCTGTGTATTCTGGCATCCAGCTAGCAAGGGAAGGCTCACACACTAAGCAAGGAGAATAATCTACAATATATTTAAAAATATTTAGATAGCACAAGGAGAAGTAATAATGGCTATATTATAAAGTGCTTCATAATTTATAGTATACCTTTAATATTATGTCTGTTCATTGTATATTTTCAATTCAAAAAATAGAATTCAGATATATTTAGTACTATAAAACCATATGCCATTCTTTTAAAACTTAAGTTACAATCACCAGCTTGTTAATAACACAGTTGAGATTTTCAGATTGTAAAGCTGCATTTGTTTTACCTACCTGTCAAAAAATTATACTTAAGTCCCACATCCCACCTACTTGAAGACAACAAGATTGGGTTAAGAGTACTTTGCATCACCTACATGGAAGAATTTGTATCATATGTGGGTTAATAATACAGCCAACTTTATTAAATCTGTTTTCATACTTAAGTTTTTGGCTACTTTTTACACTAAAATTAGGTGGTTTTAAGTGACTAGTCCAAAGTTCAATATTTAATGTTCAGTTCAGCTCCAGCAAATTTCTAAAAACACGTGGGAATTGTAACTCATGTGTTAATACTTAAAATTTTTGTTAATAAAACTTCCAACACTAACTTTACTTCATTGAACTTACCTCACTGGTTTTTATGCACGCTATAAAACTATAGCTGTCATAATATTTTTGAATTACTACAAAAGGAAGTAAGCAATTCCAAAGTCAATGTTATTTTGCAACATGATGATTGTTATAAATACAAAATACTTAAAACCAATTTGCAAAGCAATCCATCTTAGTACCTCCTGAGATCTAAAAAGCTCATCTTCGAAACATTAACAAGGTGCTGTAGACAATATGACTGAACACAGGGGCCTCATTCATAGATGCTTAGAGAAATTCAAGTACAACACATTTGGAAGAAAGGGGAGGGGCACACATCCTGAAACTCAAATAAATTGGACATAAGAGACTGAGACCAAGCAAGACACAGATAAAGGACCGAATAAAATGGCTAGCAAGCCAGCCCACCCAGCTGCCGTAGGTGGCCTCCACGTCCTCAAAACAATACACTAAAAGAATGTGGCTAAATCAAGACATACAGGATAGACTTGGGATATATCTTCTGCCCTCCTCCTAATAGAAGATGCTAAAGTCCAACAGTAAATTCTGCTGGAAGGATCTTCTCCTTGTCTGATAACCTGCCAATTTTCCTTTTCTTCTTTTTTTCTTTTCTTTTTTTCTTTCCTTCCTTTCATTTTGTATACCAGAGCACTAAATGGAACCTCCAGAAACAAGATTAAAGACTACCAGGGTCCATAGTAAATGTAACAGCTAACTCCACCCACACACACACACACCCTGTGGTTAGAGAGGCTTCTGGAGTTAAACAGCCTTGCACCTCAGGACAGTACAGTCCCAGGATGTCCCCACACCCCTAGGACACCAACAGAAAGGCACACCACAGGAAGCCCCCATCTTGCCCTGGGAAGTTACAGATTGCAGCACAGGTGGGTGACAGTGGCAACAGAATTTGCAAAGCAGCTAATGAGCAGTTAGCACCCCACCTCAGGCGAGGAGTAAGAATTGGGACTGAGCAACCTGGGACTGCAACAGCAGGAACAGAGGAGCAGACTGTATCACAGCATCCCACCCCACCCAGCCACAAATGACCCAAGAAAACAGAGACTGGCCAGTGCAAGAGGAGCATAGAAGGCTGAACGGGACCAGAAGAAGCCAGCAGTGCTTGGGACTTGAAACAGCCTCCTTTCTCTGTCTCCAAACAGCACAACAACTGAGGGAGACAGGCTCAAAGAGAAACAGGGTAAGTTCTTGGGACAGACACAAACCAAGAAAGTCCTACATACAGAAGACATCCCAGTGGAACAAACCGTGCCAAGAGAGGCCTGGGTACTAGTGATGAAGGTACCTAGTAAAAAGCTTACAAAGATCAACAGAGAAAACAAAATAAAAACTTTGGAAATAGAAAATAAAAAGACGTGGTGCTTGGTCTGGTCACATCTGACACCCATTGGGACACAGAAGACTGTGGAGCCCTGGCAGTGGTGTGGGCTGGTGCGCTCAATGAAGAATAATCATGGGCCAGACAGGGAAGAAATCTGAGAAGGGAGCTGCTTGTTGGCGGAAGCGTGTAATATCAGAATACATGTGACTGAGAGCGCAAGAGGTTCAGACAGACTGATGAAATAAAGAGTATATTTAGTTCTAATTATCAAAAATTTTGAAAAGAATAGAAATCTTAAATCAAAAATGGAAACAATGAAGGACACAGCCCATGCACATCTTGACCGCTGTGAGATCACTGTGCCAGATTAGGGAGTGTTCAGTGACATGACTTGGATTTTCCAACACAAGTTGTCCTATTAAAGACCCAGAATGCAGTTCGCCTGAGTCCCATAATGTACTCTTGGTCTCCCCTCCGAAACAATTTTATGGTAGAAGAGGAAACTGTTTCACATAACATTCCTTACATGAGGATGAAGTTCTAGACCAGGGTGGTACTTTCATTGAGGAACTAATAAAAAACCATGATGGCAAAGTCCATGGAGATTGAGAGAGTGAGTTTATAAACGATGAAATTTTTGTGCAGTTGGTGAATGCTCTGAGTCAGTACAATGATGATGGTGATGAGGATGACGGGGACAAGCCCGAGGATGGAGAAGAAAAGTAAAAGGAGCTGGAGCATCGCCGGTATGATAAAGAAAGCTGACCACCTTGGAAACTTCCTTCTGATAAAAATTTTGAAGGCATTTCCTCAATGTTTCCAGCTAAGGCACAGCAAAAGAACTAAACGAAAAATATAAAGAACTCACCAAGCAGCAGCTCCCAGGTGCATTTCCTCCCAAATTACCCCCAACATGGACGGACCAAACACTAAGTGTGCAGAAGGAGCAGGGCTTACATTCATTTCATACACTTTTCTGTCAGCGATGTTTTAAATACGACTGCTTCCTACATCCTTTTCATGTAATACCCAATATACACAATCAGAAAAACACAGAAGCAGCTCTGGGCAATAAGCCTTGTGGACCACAATGTTAGCAGCACTTGGAGGGAGTGAAGGAGTTTGCTGCTGCCCTCAATGCTGAGCAGATAAAGACCCCACTCAAGCACCCCCAGAGCAGCAGGAAAGGTGGTCTCCCAAACAACAGCAGCAGGCTCAGCACCCCCACCATCAGCGTGCTGGAGTCCAAGAACACTGACAGTGACAGAGAGGCAGGGACTGAAACGGGGCAAAAGAACAATGATAAAGAGGAGGGGGAAAAGAAGGATGAAACCTCAAACTCCTTCAAAGCAAATTCTCAGTGTCAAACCCAGTGAAGATGAATCCAAATATTGAACCTCCTGAGAATGTGGAGCGGAGCTGAAGCCACAATGTTTTGCATCCTCATCGGCACTTACTGTGATAATTTCTGTGCTATTGCCAGGTTGACTGGGACCAAAACATGCAGACAGGTGTACGAGTTCAGAGTCAAGGAGTCCAGCATCATCGCACCTGCTCCTGCTGAGGAGGCCAACACCACTCCATGACAAAAGAGGAAACATAGGCTGTGTGCTGCATACCGCAGAAAGATACAGCTGAAAAGGACGGCTCTTCTAACCATGTTCACAACTATCAACCCTGTGACCATCCATGGCAGTCTTGTGACAATTCGTGCCCTTGTGTGATAGCACAGAATTTTTGTGAAAAGTTTTGTCAGTGTAGTTCAGAGTGTCAGAAGCGCTTTCCCGGATGCCGCTGCAAAGCACAGTGCAACAGCAAGCAGAGCCCATGCTACCTAGCAGTCTGCAAGTGTGACCCAGACCTATGCCTGATGTGTGGAGCTGCAGACCATTTGGGACAGCAAAAATGTGTCCTGCAAGAACTGCAGCACCCAGAGGGTCTCCAAAAGTCATGCATTGCTGGCACCATCAGATATAGCAGGCTGAAGGATTTTATCAAAGATCCTGTACAGAAAAATGAATTCATCTTGAGTACTGTGGGGAGATTATTTCTCCAGATGAAGCAGACAGAAGAGGCAAGGTGTATGATAAACACATGTGCAACTTCCTGTTCAATTTGACCAACAATTTTGTGGTGAACGCAACCCACAAGGGTAACAAAATTCGTTTTGCGAATCACTCCATTAATTCGAACTGCTATTCAAAAGTCATGATGGTGAACAGCGACCAAAGGATCGGCATCTTTGCCAAGAAGGCCATCCAGACCGGCAAAGAGATATTCTTCAATTATAGGTACAGCCCGGCCGATGCCCTGAAGTACATGGGCATCGAGGGGGAGATGGAAATCCCCTAACCTGCTGCCTCTTCTTCCCCTCCCCGAAACAACTGCCTTAGCTGCAGGAACTGAGTACTGTGGGCAACATAGGACAGAAAATGAGGCTGAAAATCTGAACTTGCAAAGAACTGTAACAGTAATTTATAGTAAAAAGTTTAAAAAATCAACTTTTCATTGCCTTCTCACCAGCTGTCACCTGTTTTGTACCAGTGAGTTTTCACAATAATGCAGTATGTACATTTTGTAGTATGGTACAACTCTTAATAAAGCGTACTTGAACTTCTAAAACAGAAAGAAAGAAAGAAAGAAAGAAAGAAAGAAAGAAAGAAAGAAAGAAAGAAAGAGGAAAGGAAAGGAAAGGAAAGGAAAGGAAAGGAAAGGAAAGGAAAGGAAAGGAAAGGAAAGGAAAGGAAAGGAAAGGAAAGACAAGACAAGACAAGACAAGACAAGACAAGACAAGACACAAAAGCAAAAATGCAACCTTAGACCTCCAAACACATACAAAACAAGTGCTGGAGATAATGAAACAGAGGAAAAGGGAAGACACACAATTGATATTTCTGAAACAATAGAAACCAATGTAAATAAACAGATCCATGGGGCTATGGATGAAAGCAGATCAGAAATAATCTCTCAGGTGAAAAAAAATGTCAAAATTTATGAAGAAATTGATCGATAGAGATAGATCAAAATTTCTGTTGGTCTATTGAAAGGAGCAGTTAATGATTAAAATGTTATTTATTCTTTTAATTTCTTTTAATTATCTTTTTGCTGTTGATTAATTCTGTTTTTTGAACCAATTTTGCAAGTTTATATCTGGTAACCTAAACAACTAATTTGAAGATAACATCATGCAATACAGCAAGAATTGTTGATTTCCTACGAATTTGTTTAATGCAATTTGGTATCATTTCTAATGCTTTTTTATTTCTATTTTGTGTTTTTAAAAAACAAAAAAAATACATGATCATAGGAAGAAGATGAAAACTGTGCTCAATATAGGAAAGAAATAAACTGCATCAAATAGATTGAAACAGATATGTATCAATTTAAAAATTCCATTGAAATCCAGCAAAACTGCTTGAATGAAAAAGAAGATAGACTTTCAGACCCAAAGACAGGTTAGCAATCATGCAAGGAAAGACTTTGAAAGAAAAAAAAAAAAATAACAATTCAACCAACGCAAGACTGCAAAGAAAAATAATATAAGAATCATTGGTGTTGGGGCCAGGGAGATGGCTCAGTGGAATAAGCGCTTCCCTGGCAAGCGCAAGGGCCTGAGTTCGATCCCTGGTTCTGCCAAAAAAAAAAAAAAAAAAAAAAAAAGAATCATTGGTGTCAAAGAAAACACAAGAGTCAACACAAATGACATAAAAAGCTACCTGCAGTGGTAGGTAGTTTTTGAATAGATGGGTTTTACCTCAATCTCTTAAAAGTCATCTATGACAATCCAATAACTAACACAATTCTAGATGGGAAAAACTGAAATCTTTTGCTCTCAGATCAGGTACAAGGCAAGGATGTCCCCTATCACCACATCTATTCAATATAGATTGGGAACCATTAGCTGGAGCCATTAGACAAGAGACAGAAAGAAAAGGAATAAGAATAGGTAAAGAAGAAATTAAATTACCATTATTTGCAGATGACTTAATACTCTACTTGGAAGAACCAAAAAAATTCCACCAAGAAGCTACTAGAATAAACAAGCAAATTCAGTGGCATGGCAAGATACAAAGTGAATACCCAAAAGTCAATAGCATTCCTCCCCATATATAACAAAATCACTTAGAGAGAAATTAGAGAAACAATACCTTTTACAATAGCACGGCAGAAAATGAAATACTTCTGAATTTATCTAACAAAAGAAGTAAAAGAGTTATTCAATGAAAAGTATAGTATTCTGACAAAAGAGACCGTAGAAGATTTCAGAAAACAAAAAGATATTCCCTGCTTCTGGGTAGGAAGAACCAACATTGTGAAGATGGCCATACTCCCAAAATAGTTATATAGATTTAATGCAATCCCTATCTAAATACCACCAAGATACCTCACAGACCTAGGGAAATCATTCCTAAAATTTGTTTAGAGGCAGAAAAAAAAACCTAGAAAAGCAAAGGCAATGCTGGGCAACAACAGCAAGGCAGTAGGCATTACAATCCCTGACTTGAAATTGTACTACAACACTACTGTAATAAGATAAACATGATATTGGAAAAAAAAATAGACCTGAGGATCAATGGTATAGATTTTTTTTCTTTTATTTGATTTTTTTTTATTATTTTTTTTGAGTAACAATGTTTAGTGCATTGTGTATTGTTATTGCCAAAGTAGTTTCTCATATTACAAGATATAGGCAAGAAATAATAAGCAAGCAACATAGGTACAAACCTTTCTTTTTTTAGTCAACAGAAAATGGAAATATACTTTTTAAAGTTTCTAATAAATGGAATAGATTAGAAGATGCAGATACAACTACAAACACACTCAGCCATCTTATCTTCAACAAAGGGACCAAACATGTTCGCTAGAAGAAAGATAGCTTCTTTAACAAATGGTGCTGGAAAAACTGGCTCTCTAATGCCAAAAACTAAAACTTGACCAGGTCTATCACCATGAACTAAACTAAAGTCAAAATGGTTTAAAGATCTAAACATTAAAACAGAAACCCTAAATCTCCTGGAAGAGAAAGTAGATGATAGGCAAATATTTCATGAACAAAAATCAAACTTCACAGGAAATACATGAAAAAATTAACAACTGGGACCTCCTATTGAGAAATTTCTGCACATCCAAGGAAATCACCAACAGAGTGAAAAGACAACCCACAAATTTGGAAAAAAAATCTTAATAAGCACTCACACAAAGGTCTTCTATCTAGAATTTATAAAGAACTAAAAAGCATTAGGGCCCCAAAATCTAAAGACTCAATCCAAAAATGGGTTTCTGAGATGAACACACACTTCTCAAAGGAAGAAATATAAGCCAATAAATACATGAAAAAATGCTCCACATCACTAGCCATTTGTGAAATTCAAATTAAAACAACACTGAGATACCATGTCACCCTAGAAAGAATGGCTGTCATAAAGAAATCAACTGGTGAAAAATACCTGTTTCATATTATGCCTAAGATATTTGATATGCAGACAGATAGTGAGGTTAAGCTTAACAACCTAAGTTGTATGGTAATAACAATAAGCTTGTCTTCTGGATGGTTAACAACCTAAGTTTGCAGACCAAATTAGAGAAAAAGCAGGGCTGCAAGAAAAGCCAACATTTTGGCCCTAGCCTTCTAAAGTCAATTAAGACTCAGGACATATGAGAACTTGTACTGTAATGTCATGTAACTCAGCAGTGTCCCAAATTTTCTGATCAAGGAGATTATGGGGTCAAAGAGGAAAGTGATCGATAATGTAGAGTGTGCCTAAGGAGAGTCACATGGAGAGAAAACATTCTCTCAGGCTTTCACAGAGAGCACATTGGCCAAGCAATGGCCGTGACTCATCCGCATGCTGACACTGACAAAGGTTCTACAATCTGAGGTACAGGATCTCAGGATAAATCCTAAGGGCATTTCACTGACCTTCTCAGACCCAAAAGCTACAACTCTTGTTGCATAGGTCCTGCTTTACCTTGGTCTTAACCATCCAACAGAAAAGTATAAAAACGAAATATAAGATGTAAAGCCATGCTGTTATGTTGAGCTGTAGGGTACTCAGGTCAACAATTTCTGACATTGCCAGTCAAGCGAAAGACCCAATACTATTATGGGCTACTGGACTCTTTTGGAATTTTTTGCTGAGTTTACATACCTGTAGTGTTCAAATGGCGGAACTTGGCAAGGAAAGGGTATGCAGATGAGCGTCCATTTTGTGTCTGTGTGTTCAGAGTGGTTAGGATAGATGTGTAGTTGCATTCTCTTGGTGAATAGAGTGATTTGTTCTGACGGTGTTTGTGGGTGGGATGTCGTGTCCACATCTTGCGCAGCGGTTGGCCACTGGGAGGAGTGTATGCAATGTGTTGATTGTTGAAACTGTCCTACCAATTTGATTTGGGGCTGTCTCATTGCTATTTGTTTATCAGTGAAAGTATGGAAAAAATAAATACATGAAAAATAAATTTTAAAAAAATCAACCAAAAAATAAACTGTTAGAAAGACTGCAGGGAAAAGGGAACCCCTTCTCCACTGCTGGTGGGAATGTAGACTGTTGCAACCATTATGGAAATCAGTGTGGAGACTGCTCAAAAAAGTAGGACTGGAAATCCCATTCAATCCAGCTATCCCCTGTGGAGAATTTTCCCAAAAGAACTGAAAATATCATATCATAGTGATGTATGTGTGCTTATATTTACAGCAATACAATTTGTGATAGACAAATCTTGGAAAAACCAAAATGCCCGTCCCCTGAGGAATGGATGAAAAATATGTAGTACTTATGGAGTATTAGTCAGCTGTAAAGCAAAATAAATTCAAAGCCTTCATATATAAATGGATGCAACTTGAAGTTTTACTCATAAGTGAAATAAACCAGACCCACATGTATAAATATTGTATTGTCTCACTAGTGTAAGAACTAAAAAAAAAAAAAAAATTGAAAGGTATAATACAATTAAATGGAAATCAAGAACTTAAGGATTAAACAACAAAGAGAGAGAAGGGAAAAAAATTAGGAAATGTAGCAGAGGCAAAACCATACGTTTATATAAACAAGATGTTTAAAGGAATCGTCCTAAGAACTTCTATCAGGTTTTTTAAAATAGCAGTTAATGGGTAGAATTCTCACTCTGACTAACTCTACATGCTGGCATCTGTGAACTATGCAACTATACATAGAGGACAGCAATATATAATACTAAAGCCATGCTTGAAATACCTGTCATTTTGCTCTTAAAAATGCATATGGTTACTAATGTCAAATCAATCATTGCTATATTCTCTTTAAATTAAATGTTCGTTTAAAAAAAAAGGTAATAACAGAAAACAAGAGACAAGAAAAAAATGTCATAGGATTGTC